CCAGGTCAGTGTGTTTCTCTCTGCAGTACTGCTGAGCTTCAGTCCAGGTTTTATTCTCATTAATGTAGTGAAACTCATAGAGCTGACAGTCCATCACACAGCATTGACCTAAATACATTCAAAAGCTTGTTTGAGTTGATCAAAACAGACAGCAATACCAACTTTATTATAATGATAAGTAACAGTATTTAGTAGTGTTACATTTAAACATTATATTAACAGTATAAGGTAGAGGTCTGCAACCTTCACAACACAAAGAGGCATTTTGTTTCTTTGTTTTAAAGCTGAACGACTTACCTAACAAAATGAGCCACAGTTTCCACTGCATGTCTGCTCTGTCAGATAGAGATTTGTACTGTTGGAAATAAATATAACAAAAGACTTAAGAAATATGTATAAAAACTAAAAAACACTGAAAATAGAGAAGTTGTACATTTTGTTTCTAGAAAATCACTCAGATGTTATTTAGTTATTAATAGGTTAACAGTCAAATCTTCACAAACTGTGGCGTTTTATCAAAAACTGACTTACGAGATAATTTATTAAATCACAGCTTCATAAATACAATTATAGAAATTGTAGTTTACATGTTACCTCGGTAATTAGACAAGTTTCCTTTATCTTGGTATAAAACCAAGATAAAGGAAACAATCATTGCTGTCAAATCTTAATTTTGCTCCACATATTCTGTGAGATTCAAGTCAGAACTTTGATTGGACCAAAGTGAAATTTTAATATTCGTTAAACTTACAGAAAATAACTGGAGCACAGTGATCAGTTTTCATCCTTGTTGTGAAAACGTTTTGTCTGAGTCATTTTCTTCATGTCACTGAACTGTTAAATAATTATTTTACTGAGATATTCATCTGTTAACAGTTTGTGATAAATGTTAACATTTTTATTGACTGAGAGTTGTGTGAAGTGAAACATGGATAACACATGAGTTTGTAACATGACTTTATACACCAGTTACTTGATTTCTGACAATTAAGATAAAGAAACAAAGATAATTTTAAAAAGTAATAAACCCATTGAAACATATCTGCTAATAATAACAGTGGAGAGAGAAACTTATTAGTTTATGAAAACATACTGATATTCATATAGACAATATAAAGTCACTATCTACTCATTTTTGAGACAAACTAAAACTGGACTTACTTTTAGTCAAATTTGTAACCAGATACTTTATGCAGATCCACTTACCTTAGAAAATAACCAACAGATGATTCACTAATTTCCTCTTAATGTCCTTTATGTTTGTCCCAACAAGGTTGTTTTTGTTCTAAATGTTCCTATAGTAACTTCCTGCTATGTGTCTTTATGTTTTTCAATGTATGAAAGTTTTGAGTGTGTGAAGTAAAGAATATGAGTAAGTTCCACCCATAATTTCTGTTGACCAGCTTTTAGCAGTTTTTCCTTGTCTGTAGTTACATGTCATGTTTCACATCCTTTTCCTGGGATTATGTAAAATAAAAAAATCCCACTTGTACATCCTGGATCAACAATGAGCTCAGTGAGCTCAGGAACAACATTTGAATATTCAAACCTTGTGAGAACATGTCACACTATGCCTAAAATAATTTACACTTCTGTGAAAATGTTGTTTAAATGCATCAATATGTATTTATTTAGCAAAGAAGTTGCTGAGAGAGTGAAGCTCCAGGTGGAACAAACTTACAATTGAAGGCAAAACTTTTCTATCCTGCTAAAATCAAAAACCCAGAGTTGTGTCTGGGTTTCCCTCCTGGATCTGATTCTCACTCTGCTTGATCTGAGAAAACCAGAAGAAGTGAATTCACCCATTCACTCTACATCCTTCACTTATTACCTATAATTTAAACATTTGAGATTACAAGACTGTTAAATAACTTCACTGATTAATATTTTCCATTTTGTTATTTCCTGTTATGAAGCATTTCTTGTTCAGTTGCTGTTTTTCATATTTCCTTGGCTGCTCTTCATAGAGTTTCCTTGTTTGTTCATAAATAGAACTCATTTTATTAACTAATTAGGTTTTTCTTCCTGGTGAAAGTTGTCGTGCAAACAGTGAGTCCTGACGTGCGAAATGTTTCCTTCTCCCATCACAGCTCCTCTTTTCAGCTGCAGCATTTGAATATTAAAACACTGAGATCAAATTCCCAAATGGAAAAGTTTCAGATCTGGATTTCAAACGCCTGTTTTGGTTCTCCTCTGGCTCCCTCTGTTCCTGTGGGTTTTTTGTTTTTTATCAAAACAGTCAACACTTTCCATGCTTCCAGATCCTCTCTGCATTTTGGTCCATCAAAACTCACAACTCATGACACGCAGAGTTCATTTCACTTCTGAATTTATAGGTTGTTTTGATGAAATACGTTTTTTGTTTTCTCATTCTATAAATGCAACTCATGACTAGAGCAGTTTAGTTTCCCACCTCAGACTGTTTCTGCCATAAATTTACCATAAACAGTCATATATTTCCCTGTTATCGAAGGATTTACAATTTTGAGCTGAATGGACTCTGGCCAACTGAATACTTGTACTAAATCTTATATCTTGCCAGATAAACATACATCAATATTTGCATATAACCGTTGACGACTAGATGAGTTGGATCGCAGGAGGCTTATTGATGAATTTATATTATTGGAATCTATATTTATATTTTGGATTCATGGATATCTTGAAATAGCTGTGGGAAAATGATTAATATTTTTGTGACAAATGATTTGTGATATTTTTATTTTTGGAAAATACAATTTATTTGATCATTTTTCGTGTCATAGGGTGTGTCATGTGATGGTATTAACAGTTTTTCCCAGTCCAGAAAGAATTTCTCCCAAGCGAGACAAATAAAGATACTAAACTTTTTGATTCAGTAGTCAGTAATAAAGTGTACGCCACAAAAACTCTCTTTATTTAATATTTTACAAACATTTGCACAGCCAAAATATACTTGTACAAGTATTGGTGCATTGTTATCCAGTTAGAAAGATACAAGAAAAACACATAAAGCCATTAACTGCTGAATTAACTGTATGACATTTTCTATTGTTTGAATAAGGATATTTGTTCCCTTAGCAGAGCTTTCACATCAATAAAAAGTGTGTATTATATATGAGACACAACCCCGGACCAAACTTATAATATGAACATTTATACATTGCTACAGCAACATAAAGTATGTGCTCAATCAATAACAGTTCACATAAAAAAAATTTGACAATCAAAAACAAACGTTTGATTTTGCCAAACTGTTTTACTCCAGAAATCATCAAGTCAAATTATGTGGCAAATATATTCATAATGTAAGAAAATTTTCCTCAAAATACAATATATTTAAGTTTTTATAATGATAATAGCCTCAAGCAACACTTGCTACAGTTGTAACCAAGTCCAATATAAAAGTATTTTGTATTGAGTTAAGTTCATGGAAGTAATAATAATTTTGAATATTAAACATGTTTGCTTAAATATGTTAAAGTTTCAGCAAACATATACTTCTTACAGACCCAGAACCAGACATTCTTCAAGCAGCTACTCGAAGTAATATGGTATAATAAGTTAAAAGAATTTGAAAAAATGTACTTAAAACCACTTTACAGAAAAGTAATCTTCACCATATTTTATTTTGAAGGGCTGAGTCGTGGGAGCTTTCCAGAGTTGAGCCTGGAGAACAGAGATGAGCTTACACTGAGTTATGTGACTGTACTGGAGGGCTGTGTCTGCGTTGGGTTTTCCTGCTGTTTCCTGAATCCTGGACCGAGGGACTGGTTATGGAGCTGAAGACATCTTGCCATCACAGAGTAAAGACAGGTGAAATTCCAAGAAGGTGCAAGATTTTCCCTTGGACTAAGGTACCAAAATCCACGCTTCAATAACACATCAGGCCTGTAACAGGATTTATTATTCTTGCTCAAAGCTATATTATTGTGTGAAAAGAATAGAAAATAACTTGTGTATTACTCTCAGGTGAGTGAAACTTATAATAGGTTTAAACCCGAGAGTGTATTAGTTATTATTTGTAAGTTAAAGGGGTTTAATGAACTTTGGGGCCCTTACCTTCAGAGCAGTATAACTGGGCTACTCAGTATTGGCTCAAGACAAGACAGCAGGAATATCTTTCAAGTTTATCTCAAGAGCACCAAGATAATCAGAGCTTCCTTAAAATCGGGACAAAAATTGTCAGCAAAATCTTGCATGGAGTAGGCATTGATTAATTTCATTCATGACTCAACCATTTCTATTCTTTGATACTCCTTTTCAAGCTTCTTAGGATGTTTTTTTTTTTTTACATTTTAGAATGTGTCTAGAATGTGTGGCTGACAGGATCCTCTGAAACACTTGCGTATTTTTGAGTTTGATTCTCATCTCTTCCTTTTTAAGAACCAAGAGACTTAAATATTGGTTGAACTGAAATCTAAATTAAGATCCACAAGAAGAAAAATAAATTCACTACATCAAGTTACTACATAGCTATACATCAGTACTGTAGTACTTCAGACCGGTCTTGATCTCGAGGCCATTTTTTGATGGTTTCGTACTCAACTGCATTTGGTCTTTGTTTTGTCTCTGTCCTGCTGAAGACTCAGGATTTTATTTCAAGACCAGTGAAGACCGCAACTGTGGAAATATCACTTAACTTACAGCATACTGCCCAGTTTATTTGTGAACATGTTTGTTTTCACTGGATTTAAAACGCACTGATTAAAACCTAAGCTATAACGTGACTTAACAATTACGTGTTTCTGTTACTCCCCCAAACCCTTCCCCACCTTTCATACGCGGTGGTTTTCTTTGAGCGGCAGAAGATGTCTGTCTAATCATCAGTAATAGAATTGCGCTTCATAAATCATAAGAAATCTGATGGCGACAGCTAATTCAGCAGCACTTTGCTTTCGCAGACGTGTGAGAAGTATTTTTTTGTCAATTAGAAAAGAAGTTCAAAGAAAGGTAAGCTCCGTTGACGTGATGTAAGCAAAGGTAGGTGTACAGAGACACTTAAGCATTTGTGATGGAAAAAAAAAGTTACTCACTGCGCTGAATTATTGTGCGGAAGTGTTGATGAATGTGGAGCACATTCAGGACACTGTGTCCAAAAGTCTGCAATATAGTGATGAACGATCCGAGTCTCTGAACTTCTCTTTACTAAGACGACAGGACTGGAGCCTCACTGAGAGCCATTCTTTGTTCTTGTAATGCTCTGCGTGCACTGCAGTAGCTATCGTTATTTTTATTTAATTATATACATTGATATTTATTTAGTTGGCAAATAAATAAAACACAAGATCAAAAAAATTAATAACCAGTCCAGGAATCAGCATCAAAAAACCTGATCGGAGCATCCCGTCTTTTTAGATAAGCAGAACAAAGAGTTTGTGTTTAAAACTGGTTAAATTGATTTCAGATTGAAGTATTTAATATCTAGGTGTTTTTATGAGAATGTGAATCTTTCAGATCAATTTGATTTGCAATTTTGATCATATTTCACATTTGATTGTGTCATGTAGAGCGAGGGGCTGGACTTGGGCTGGCCTTGGTCTCGGATCCTAAAACTCTTGGTCTTGTTTTGGTCTCAGGTTAGATGGTCTTGACTAAAACTTATATACATTAACTTATTTGATTCCAGCAGGAGCTACAACATCTTTTTCATACTGATAGCTACATCTACTTTTGTAATAACATTACAGACATATACATATTTCAACATTTTCTTGCTATTTTTCAGAATTATGTACAGAACAGTTCATCATTCGTATTGCAATCCCATGTCTGAACATGAAATTTAACTTAGAGATGCACAGATCCGATATAAAATATCTGTATCGGTTCTGATATTGAAAAAAAAAAAAAAAAATTGGAGTATCAGTGACAACGTGTCCAGTTCATAGGGGCTGATCTATTCAGTTTAATTCTATGCTTTGTGCTCTGAGCGCCGTCGTCCTTTCAGATTTGTTGCAGTTTATTTTTCACGTTTCACTAATGTAGTAAATTTATCGAGTGATGCTAAACCTCAGATATCAATATCGGAAGTGGAAAAAGTGGATGGGTGCACCGCTAGTTTTACTGGCAGTAGAACGTGAGGACGTTCTGTTGGTTTCCTCGTATCAACACGGCGGGACAGTGAAGGCCACGCGACAGAGTGTCCAGCCAGGCCATGTACAAAGCGCTGGGGCAATCGCTTTGAGGAACTGGAAGGCTCCTGCAAAGAAGATACACAAATAAATATGTTGATAAATATTCCATCAGAAAGCTGTAAATGTTTCTTCATCCAAACATTTTCAGGTGTTTATAATCTGCACTCACACTAGAACAAGAGCGGTGTGGTGGGAATTCTTCCGAATGATTTCATTCAGCCTCACCTTTCTCTCAGACTGTAAAAGGTAAACAAAACATTAGATATTTTTTATTGTACTATGACATATTTTTGCCTCAAATATTTGCTAAAAACACCCACCTTCAGCTTAAAGGCTTCAAATTGTTTGTCAGACATCTTCCACGGAGTGCTTTGTCTCAGCTCCTGTACAGAGATGCCTTCCTGCTGCTCATCGTGCAGCCTGAAGGGGGCGACGCTGTCCACAAATCTGCTCAAGCTGAAACGAGAAAGCAGAAGTCAATTTTCCTGTGAAGAACAACTACGCTGCCTAAATATCAACACATACAGATGGAAACCTGTGAAAGTGAGTGAGTCTTATTGGAAACACCATGATGATGGAATCTGAGACAAATGGACTTTCTGGACCTTTTAAACCAATAGTTAAAATACCAATTCTGTAGATTATTTATTAAAAGTACATTACACTTTTTGTGCTTCATTAACATAAAAAAAGATATATTATGAAATTTATCTTACCTTTTTGGATGAGGGTGTTTCTCAATATCTGTCATGACTATAACATCACTAACGTCCAAACGAAACCTCTTCAGCAGAGCCATCATCCTAAAATATATATAAGATCATATTCACTGCATTACACTGTGTATAGAAGTTCTCAAACATCTTGATTTCAACAAAGAGATGAATAGCAAAAAAAATTTTTCTCTTCTGAGTCTAAATCTTTCTTGGAAAACCTACTGGTTGCGACCCTCCTCCATGTTTTGTTCGTCGCCCACAATGAAAACCCGGACCTTGCATCGGCGCCAGCGTTTCCTCCTGGTGATCAGGTAGGGCACCAGTAGAGTCAGACCTTAAAACAAAGTGGTTATAAATGTTTGTACCACTGATCTGAACATAAATGTCGGGAAGACATTTATCTTAAAACGCAGTTTTAAGATAAAAGGATTAGCACAGAAACAGACTGTTACTAAATGTAAGTATTTGGCCATAAAAATAACATTTTTGCAAGTAAACTTATGTTTAAGGCATGTCTCACAGGTTCTCTTACAGTCAGTATTTTTTATTCCAAATTATGTTTGGTTCCTTTAACATCTACAAAGATTTCTATCTCACAAGAATTTGAAAACTCATTAGATACTAAGAATAATTAAAAAAAAATTCATTTTAATTTTTAATTACAGAAATTAAATGCATGTTAATTTTTTTAAACAGCTAAAGAGTCTTGGTTCAACTGTAAGGTTTAAAAAGCACTCACCCAGCATCACTATGCCTTTTAGTGGATAGGTTTTTCTGAAATGTGATGTGACACACTTCCAAAAAGTTCAATTTTTGTCCTATCAGTGCATAATATTTCCCCAAAAATCTTCAATGTGCATTTTTTGGCTAATGTAAGTCAGACTTTCTAGATCTTTTTGGCCAGGAGATGTTTTTGCCGTTGTAAGGCCCCCATTGCTAGTATTTTTATCCTGATCACGCCTGGAAAGGTTTACAGCCGTTTCATGTTCTTCTTTAATCAATAAATAATCTAAGACTAAATCCCTTTCAAATCCAACATTCGCTCGTATTACTCACCTCCATCGTCTGCTATCCAGTAGACATCGATGGTTTTCTTTCCCTGGTTGTTTTGAAACACGGTCCTCATCTGATCGCTGCTGCCTTCGTCAGACATGTCATCAGCTGCAAGACGAGGAGAAACTTTAGAGGAAAGAAAAACAATCCCACATGTACCAACATGTTTTTCATTAATGGCTTATCATGTGAATAAACTTATTCGCGATTTCCATTGCTTTTCTTAATTTATGAAAACACCTGAATTGTAAAACAGCGTTGTTGTTTTTTAAACATTAGCAGAATAACAATGTTTTGAGCACATTTGTAATGGAAACGCGGCTACTGAAAATGGCAAAAACCCGCGCTGAATCACATGACCGGCCTCTTCCACTTCCCCTCCAGAAACAAGCAGCAAGACGGAAATAAAGGTTGGTGTTTAAAGTCAGTCCATTTTATTTAGCAAGGTGATACCAATATGTTAAAAACGGACCGATATCAACCGATAATATTTGTACTAAGTCGTGAATCCGGAGAAACATTGCAAAACAAAAACTACCAAAACTAAATTCACTTAACTTAGTGTTAAAGTCAGATAAAAATCCTTGCAATTTATGATTATGTGAACAGCTATAATGGTTGTGTTATTTGTTTACTGCAAACGCCTGAAAAACTTAGACCTTTGCCAATAATGCAAACAAGCAACATGAGTTGCAACTTTGTGAAGAGAAATTAAGGGTCAGGAAGGCATGTTGAGTTTTAACACCTAAGAAACATTGAAACAGTATATGAGAGTCAATATTTATGGTACCTACCTGCGGTATGTGTTTATACAAAAGGACGCTTAATCATTTGTGTTGCTGCATCAGTCAGTAACTTTTAGTTCAAGTGAAAGTTGCTATGGCAACAACAGCTATGATTTCTTTACTGTAAACAGTAGTGTTGGGAAAATTGTATATATCAGACATTTGTTCAAATTATTTATTCTGAATGGCTTTAACTATGTTTCTGAGGATACCTCACTGAAGGGAGCAGTCAACATAAATGTTTTGAGAGTGTCAGCCGGTTTCGCTCGGCAAGAAGTTCCTGTGCCCTTAACACAAAAGACCGTGTGAAACTGTACAATTTATTATTGTTTTATTGTACATGAACCTGTGTTCCAGAAGATATGCTGTGTAATTCTGAGTCACATTGCAGCTGTGTGACCTATTCCTATTTCTTACAGCTTTGACGTGTATGTATCTAGGAAACGTCCCGAAACAAATGAAAAGAGGATTTGTTGGGATGTTTTCAGAGCTGTAGGAGATTGTAACTGAAACACATCTCTGTCCGTTCTCCTCGCAAGTGAAAAGAATCTAGCTCTCTTGTCTGTATCTGATGTTCTAGGTGTTTAAACCTGACAAACAGAGAGGTGGAAGATGTTCTCCGAAAACAATGACTGTAATCACATGGCATTCTCAGTATCTTCACAGTTGTTTCTTGCGTTACTTTTGAAATTTGTTTCATTTTTGCCATGTTTATTCTAGTAGAAAAGTTCATAACAGAATTTTATATTTTTGCTAACGTGTCACCTCACCCGTTTCCTCTTCGTTGGTTTGCTGGTCCGGATTGTCCACATTTTCATCGGCCTCAAAGCCCTGGTTGACTGTGGGGTTCAAACCACCTGGTCAGATCCATGTTAGTTTGATTAACACTTTATGTGGTAAAGTCCAAAAATAAAATATTGAGTAAAAAAGAAGAAAAACCTTCAAATTCTAAATCATCAGAGATATCCAGTCCATCCATCATTCTCAAGATGCACAAACCGTAGTTGGAGTCAAACGCGTCACTATAACAAAAACAAACACTAAATCAAATACCACAGTCTATTTTTAGCATTCATATCGCAGCTGCTGATAGTTCAGAAATTACATATTTTGAGCCAGTTGAAAAAAACTCTCAATCTTACTAAATGGTGCTGATGTAATCCTCGATGCTTTCCGGAGCGCTGTCCCTCCAGTTCGTCTTGAAGCCCAGAACCAGAGTGTTGGGTTTCAGTTTACCAAGACCGGACGCCTTGAAAAGATTGAAGGTGAACAGTTAATATGATAAAATTTTGATTAAATATAGTTAAAGCACTTCATTTGATGGAATATTTATTTCAATGTTTGTCATTTTTAACCTTTTTAAATAGTTTATTTCTGGAACTTTGCAACACACACTCTAAAATGAACCGAGATTTGTAGGTTTTCCACCCTTCCAGAGTCCTTTTATGTTTGAATTAGCAGTTACTGCGATGTTCACTTAGCTATTTTTGGATTTCCTAGTAAACACATTGGGAAATGATTAAAATAAATAATTTTTGTTACCTGTAGCAGCTGCTTAGTTCCTGCCTTTAAGTTGTCAGCAGTGAGAGGAGTGTAGAACGACCGCACCTTTCTCTTGTTCATCCACTTAACCAGGTAGTTTGTGGTGTCCTGAGGCCGCGTCTTCCTGTCCTGCTCCTAGAAAGGGCAAAAAAATAGTGTATTTCATTTATAGAAACATTCAGTGAAGTTAAATGGGACTGAATGGCAACCAGAAATAGGATAGTGTTGATAAAATGTAGTTTTATGCTCATTTTTTAAGGGGATTCTTGGTACATTTGACCAAAAGCTCCTACCAGTATTATATCACCACAGATCATGAGGCTGACGTGCTTCGTGAAAGAGCCAACAAAGTCCACCAGTGCAGGCCGCTGGTTTGGAGGGCCAGTCAGGACGAGACATTGGGGCCTGAAAGAAGAAAGCAACAAAATTTGGAATTGGACAGAATGCCGGGCAAAAGTTTAAAATCGATCTAATTTGTTTATGTTTCAAGTCCAAAGAGCTATGAGAAGTTTTAATAAAGTGTGGACTCTATTGGCCCATTTGACCATCATCAAATAGAATGTTTTTGTCTGTTTGATAACCACTCCTTTAGCTTTTATGTTAATATCAGATAAAATGGGATTTCTTTTATAAAGCAGACATGTTGTACCCATTTATTAAACTCTGCATTAAGGTTTCCCCAAAAAGAAAAAACACAAAAAAATTCTTTCTCTTGTTGTCGAGAATAGAGTCGAGCTGTTTTCCACATCAGGAAAAATAGCAAAAAAACTTGAAAAATATTCCATGTTGCCTGAATTTCAAACATTTAAAATGGATTTATATTAAAACTTGTTCCATTAACATATTTCCTGCTTAGCTTTTATGCTATATGAGTAGATGAAATTAGGATTAATGAGTTTTGACATATGCCAGGCAATGCAAAAAGACCTAATTTAAAACTGGTTCATTGCCCTTCCCTTCCAGACAGAAAGTGTCGTCAATGAACCAGTCAAATGTACAGTATCGTAATTCTGCCACACTTTGCACTATCTCCCGTTTAGAATCTAGTGAAATTAATCTGAGGGCCAGTCTTTTAATCGACAGTAAATAGCAAATATATCTTGCTAGACATTGAAAAGTTCAGTTATGGATAAATGGGCAAATATATTTACTCACAGGACTTTTAAAGAACCGCATAAAATTAAATTGAGCAAAAACATTCAAGAATTGGATGAGTAAGAAAATTTTAAAAATAAACAAACACCGGAAGGATCACTATTGGGTTAATGAAAATATATTGAAAATCTACGATATTCTTTAGGACGACTCACCTGAAATTCTTCACATGATCCTCCACTCCGGTCAGAGAGACGGAGGAAGACAAAGCTATGTTGTATATGCCTGCCTGCACCGACGAACCCCAGTTTACCTCTGTGGAAAGGGAAATGATGGCTTAGCAAGAGCAAATGCAGAAAAACGTTTTCTGCTTGCTTCCAATTAAACTCAGCTGAACTGAGCTCAGGTTCAACGAGCTGCACCCACTCGGTTTGTTGTAGTTGACGTATCCAAAGAGGAAGATGATGATGCAACAGGTGACCAGAGCGGCCCACCAGGTGAACAGGAACATCAGCAAAAAAGATATGAACGATCCAAACAGTGCCGTCCATTTGCTGTAGTAGCGGAAGGACGGCCTCCAGCCTGAAAGAATCGACAAATAAGACGTGCTTTTATTATTATGAAATATTTCTACTCTTGAGTAAAATTACTGAATTTTCTACCCACTGCATGAAAAACAAACATGGTTTAACCATAAATTCACCAGACACAGACACACACCTGCAGTTTTTGTTAAAGTTTCATAAGTTTTTTATTGAAAGAAACTGCTTTGGAACAAAGTTTTTTTTTTTTTTTTGCCTGACTTTATTTAATTTTTGTTACTTAAATGAATTTTTGTCAATTTTGTCTTTAAGATACCAACATTTCCAATTAACTTTATATTTTCGTCAAACGTATGTAATTTTTTAGTCATTCAATTCTTGAGTAAAGTTTATCCCAGATACTTTTTTACTCTTACTTGAATAATTTGTTAGACAACTACTTTTTTAACATTTATCTGAATTATGCTGAAGTAGTGTCACTCTCACTTCAGTACATTTTCTTGGGTACTTCACCCACCTCTGGTAACCTGAATCAAGTCAGTAATGACTCAGCATTAAGGCAATGATACTAAGGTATTTTCCTTAGCAAAGAAAAATACCTTAGGAACCAAGTTTTTAGACTTTCAGATTGGTTTTATTTCTGTTTTGCTTGTCTAAACATGTTTTAAATTTGGGATCTTTTATATCTGCTTTTGCGACAGACTATTCAAATTAGCTCACCACTATTCACATTTACAAATCTGTCAGAACAAGTCGAATGGTCCAGACTGTTTGCACAAGAGTGACCCAGGATTCAGTATTAAACCTTTTTGTGTGTGTGTGTGTCTGCTTGTGGGAAAAAAAAACCCCCAAAAAAGTACATAAATACATAATGAACAAATTTCCCTTAGTCATGAGAATTAATGTATTCAGTTAGGTTAGCTGTACTAGAACAAGTAGAAGGCCTCTTAACCTGTTGAAAGATGATTTGTTTTTTCTTTGTTCCCAATTTAAAATGATTTCTTCTTTCCAGAAAGAGACTCCCAGTTCGAAACACTATTTCTAATTTCTCAAACTACTTTCAGTCGAAAACGCCTCTAACTGCCCAGTAAAATAGCCCCTCTAATCTAGGGACCAATTTAAACAATCCTTACTGAATGAAACACAGTTGTAATCTGAGATTATTTTTATGAGTATTTATCTTTTCCACAATAACCATTTCGTATAATTTGCTCTTAAAATAAACTGCATTATGGGTATCTGTTATTTACACTATGTCAAGGTAGGACTAATTTCAGACATTAGCACCAGCAATTAACAAAATGTAGATTATGATGTTAACTGCAAATACATTAATTAAAAACTTTTTTAAAAAGGTAAGCGACTTACCAGGGGAATTGGTGAAGGACGCATGAAAACAACTGAAGTTAATCAGGGCATAGGAGCAAAGGAAGAAATTAGAGATGATGGGAGCGATGGAGTTGAGGTCCGCTGTATTGCCACAAGGGGCACAAAAAGACAAAATGTAAACTTGCATCATTAACCTCTGTAAAATATGAGTAATCATTTGTAAAGATATCACATCTCACACACCAACAAGGATGACGGCTGTAGCAATAAAGTAGGAGAGAATGTAAGCTCGACGTGGCTCGTTGTTTTTCCCATAACCTTTCCCAAAGAAACCGATGTACGGGTATATTTGGTCCTTGCATAGGCACTGAAAAAAATACAGGAAATTTGTTTTTTTCAGTGTTGACACGGAATTTAGTGTTATGAAACAGAATACTTTTAGTTGAATATTGTTTCACCTGAAAGATTTTGGGTGCAGAGACAAGAAAACCCAGGGCAGAAGACAAAGTGGCAGCAAAGATACCCACAAGGATGATGTAGTAAACACCAGAGAGTTGTCCAAGAACCTGGTTGGAATATTTTAGTAAAATCAACAGTAGATCATTTTGTACGTCCTCCCTTAGATATTGTAAACGACACTTCAGTGAAACAGTCAAGACTATCGAGCTCTGACAACAAGTTTGATTGATACATTGAAGTTGTTGGCGAGTCCAAATCGACAGGTCTGCGACTGGATACAGTCTGTGAAGTTCCAACCAAAGTTACACGCCAGTCCCACGCAACCATTCGTGTTGTTTCCTGTCATGATGTGACTTCTGTTCCCAGAGGCGTCCCGCACTACACATGAGCCTGGAAAAAAAATAAATACTCCAAGTCTGAGCTGAGCTTCATGGTATTTCTCACATTTTTTTTTTTGAAAACTATCATTTCTTTACTGTACTGACGCTAAACCGGAAAATTACCTCTTGTATTTTCATTTTGTTCAACAATTTTATTAACAGTCAGTTACCATTGGCAAACACTAACTTCAGCAAACTAAAGGATTTACTGAGCCAATCAATAAGGCGAAAGAAGGAATGTGATAAAAGTAACCCACCAGTAGTTACTGTTATTACCACGTAGCTGAATGTTGTCCAAAAAATAGCCATCAATGTGCCTTTTGGGATAGCTGATGCAGGGTCCTGCGAACAGAAGTTTGATCATCACCTTGTTCCTTGCAGCTCAATGCCTTTCATTCAGCCTTGTTGAGATTCAAACCTTTAGATCTCCACAGATGTTGACCCCAGACAAAATGCCAGTACAAGCAGGAAAGAAAATGGCAAACATCTGGAAAAAATAGCCTTGAGGGCCTCGCCAGTTTGGTGTGAGGTTCTCGATAAAAATATCGCCTATAGAGAGCGACATCGAGTCAGGCATTGCATTTCAGATTACGTCACTGACTGCAGTGTTTGGTGCAAAAGAGAATATTCTTTACCTCGGTATCCGAAGATGCCGATAGCCTTCTTATCAACGGTTGGAGGAATTACGGTGCCAATAATGTAGTTTGCGAAGGACACCATAAGCGCTATGAAGAACAAAATCTGGGCCTGAAAGCAACACAAAACAAGTTATTTCAAAACAATGATTAAGTGAAAAAACATTTCATGAACTAAACAAAACAGTGTTGCTTTCTCGCACAAAATTCCCCACAGATAGACTAACCTTGGACTCCCACTCCATTCCAGCCTGAGTAATCAGAAGAAGAATTGTGACTGTGACTACACCCACAATGCGGACGTCATTGATCGAATCCACCATGATGGCACCAAAGTCCTAAAATGAGTGACATAATTCTCACAAGATCTATGCAACATATTGGGTTTTAATATGAAACGCATAATACAATGAAAAGATTTATGGAAATTTTTTTACCTGTATGTGGTTTAAATCATTTTCCAAAATATATGCACGAAAAACTTAATCTTTTGCCGTACACTAAAATTACCTTAAAACATACTCACTAAACTTATAAGTATAATTTTTATGTCTCTCTAAATAAAAAAAGGATTGACAAATGTATTGAAGATGAATCAAATCCACCTACATGCATCAAATCACGAACCACCAATGAAAAACCAACAGTGTGGAGTGCACAGGCCAGCGCGTTTGCAAAAGAGAACACCAGTCCAATTGGTGCTCCAATTTCAGGACCCAGAGTACGGGAGATCATGAAATATGCACCGCCTGCAAAATGTTTCACACACACACAAAAAGGACTTTTTTAATGAAAAGTTAACAAAAGAATATTCAAATAATAAAACACAGATTACAGCTATAAGCTTTGCGTTGCCTCTCAAAATGATTCCTATCCTATCAACTAAAATCACATGTATTGGTTTGTTTAACGTGATGAGTTGTTAAACAAATTTATTTTATGTAAAAAGTGCTTTTTTCTCTCTTTTGTTTTTAATTAGTGTTTACATTGAAAATTTTATTTTTGGAATTTGCTCAAATTTCAGGTCAGCGAAAACGCAGCCACTGCCAATTTATGCAAATGAGTACTTCTGTCTTAATTAATACTCAATAAAAGTGCCTTTGGTTTCTCTCTTTACACAGAATATTTTGTGCATCATGTCATTGTTCCTTCATGTTTCTCTGCTGAGTACAAAAATGTCAGGCAGGAAATTGATGTACAATTTGTTTGTACTGATGACCCAAGCTACATATTTCCCATCATTTTTAATTTACAATAATGCATATAAATTTTTACATTTCATTACTTTGCACATGGAACTCACCTGATATCACCCTCCCATTGGTGGCAATAGCAGAGATGGACAGTGCAGTCACAGTGGTCACCACCACGGACATCATGATAATTACACAAGTCAACACTGTCATCAGACGAATATATATATGTATTAGTTATTATTATAACTCATTCCTGTATTTCATTTTCTTCTTGAATATGTTCAGAAAATAATTTAGCAAATCTGTTGCCGTTTTATTTTTCTCTTTTCTTCCTTTCGTTTCCAAGATGTATACCTCAAATCGAGTATCAAAATCATTTCAACCATAATTCTTTCAGTTAAAAAAAAACAAATAAGTGTAACAGCATTTTACCAGTGTGTACACCAAAGACTCGGATGGTATGACTCACCAATGCCTGCCTGAGACGTGATCCATGACAAGCGCAAGAACATGATAACCCCCCAAATATTCAGCATGCAGCGCATCTGTTCCCAAAGAAACAGAAAACAGCCGTGGGATGTTTGTACAGTAACCAGGTAAGTCTGCTGATAATTTAGCTGCCAATTCATGAATTATTTATTCTTTTTTTTTTTTTTTTTTATCTTATTTTATTTTTTAACGAACATTGTATTCCTAAAAAAATCTGTTACCCGCATTGAATTCAGTATGAAAGAAACAAAATCTCACCACGACGCCGATTAGCCAGCCAAATCTAACTGGAGCTTTGCCCTTAGGACCTTCAGACTCTTCGTTTTCCATATCTGGTGCTGGCAGGCTGCCTGAGTCAGAGGCGGACGCTCCATCCATCTCCACAACCTTTAGTGCAACGGAAACAACCAGTGACACTGAACCATCTGATGGTCTTAAACTGTTTAATAATTTGTTTAAAGGGGCAACATTAGGTGTTTTCCAGGTACATCAAATTATTGTAGAGAACAAAATGTTACCTCAGTTGTTATAAAAATGCTACGTGTATCAAAAAAGAAATTTAACACCTTAAAATTTGCCCTCTGTCTCTTTAAGAAAGTTATTTTCTTTCCAAAAATCTGCGTTCAGGAAGTCATCACAACATTGCTCCTCTATTAAACCTTTAACAGCATTTTTACCAGCGTTGCACTGAGTTGTAGCTCCTAGAAAGAGCTTAGCTGAGGCTAGTTCCATCAAATGATAGCTAATTGCCTCTGGCTAGTATGAAGGAGCTGAGTGGGGGAGTCACATCTCTATGTGAGGTGGAAGCTAGGAAACTTCCGCTTCAGTTCAGATGACATTTTGGACATCTGAATTGTTGCCATGTGAGAATCAAGGATTTCTTAAACATGCATGAAAAACTCAAGTCAAAATTCCAAGAATGGTTTTAATTATAACATAATGTAAAGCTAAAAAAAATAAGCGAATTTCACATAATACTGCTGCAGTGTGAATAGTAATATTTATCAGATTTAATTTAAAAGAGATCAATTTTATTGATTACATTCCTTTTGTTTTCCCATATCCTGCCATTGATGTAGTAAAGAAATCGAATCCACCTAGCAGAAAACGCATTAATAACAATTAGCCAAATGGCATGAACTAAAAGACAAACATACCTCAAATGTTTTGCGCAGGGTTTCAAGAGACGGCCTGCTTTTTATCATCTGACGTGGCAAAGAATTGGCATAATTCTCCAGCTGGGGCACCAGGTCCATGGTGCTGTAGACGGAGGCCCTGCGCAGCTCTGCCCTGGAGCCGCGACGCTCTGATGTTCTGCATGACAAGATACAGAATCATGTCTATCAAACTGCAGCTTTTGTTTGAAATCTTCCAGCTCCACTTTTGTTGCTTGTTGCAAGCGCAGGGTGAGTGAAGAGTAAATCTTCTAAGACGCGTGACTGATGGGAAAGGGGCAGAGCAAGGTCAAATATGCATTAGTGGTGCAAAGCTCCGCGCTTGTTACAGTCTGTTAAACGTCCACGACTTTTTATTTTTTCAACATTGTGAACTACCTGCTCCTCTGAACTATAAATGACAGATTGAGACAACCTTATATTAGACATTCTCATTTACTTTCTTCTGTGTGGTTATAAAAATATGCTATCAAAGCCCGGTGGTGACCCAAACTCACCATGAAGGTGGTTTAGAGGATCAGGCTGATGTCTACTTTAGAAGGTATCTTGCTTTGGTTCTGATAAGAGAATAATTATAATATCTATAGTATCATTGTTACAAATTACAAAAACATCAATATTCCCACCAGACCTCAAACAATAAAAGTCCAGTTGGATTTTACGTCAGATGATGAGAAAAATGGTACTGTATCTTTTTTCTTTTTTTTAAATGTGTGTCAATATTGTTTTAAGGTAATCAGTTTTTGGTTGACACAGCTGATTATCTGAGGAAAGAAGCTCTATATCTTTTCGTCTTTATTTCCAGATGGCTTCGTTGGAAGTAAAACACAGCAGCATTGGAGGGAGGCAATTCGTCATCTATTCCTAACCCGATATGAAAGCAAAAGTGAACTTTCTGTTGGGAGAAAAAAAAATGCCTGTCCAATATGTAAAAAAAGGACTTTTAATGACGGCACCGACCTGGACTCCTCATCAGAGACGACGATGGTGGGAGGGATCCGGATCCCATTGCCTCCATTTACGGTGCCGCCATTAAAGTGGTGTGAAGAATACCTGGGAGGTCCCTCCTCATTGGAGGAAAAGTGCACACTCTGGGCCAGGTTACGTTTGGATGCAAACTGCCCCATTAGTGCGTCCTGGTGCTTCCTGTGGAGTGATAATCATTTGACTAGAATACACTAAATTAATAAATTTACTTTTTTTAAATCAGAATGCTAGACTTTAGGACCAAAATCAAGATTAACGAGAAACATGAGAATAAAAAACCTTGAAGGAACACTGAAAATTTTGCTGATTTTCTAAGAACATAAATAGAATTTTGTAAGACCACAAAATGAACAATATGGAACAGATACTGACATTTTTCCTCGTTTTGAATCTTTTTGACATAATCTTTGAAGAATCTATATTGCATATAGTGTAGTTTTTATTTTGGAACTTACTGTCAGTGATGCCAGTAATGCTGATGCAAATTGCATTGCAAATTTAATGAGTCCCGGGTTGTGCTTTTTTGGGCTCATTTTTGAATGTGAAGTTGCTCATTTGGGCTGAATAAATACCAGAATTTGTCTGACATTGAGTTAGTTTTAGTTTATCATTTCCCAAATGATCCGTCCTGCTGTGTCTTTGTTAATGTTAAGTTAATATATTTGCTATGAATTATGTCAAATTAAGTATTGGCAAAGCTGAATGTAATTTTCACAGGTGGCAGAGTGTTGTTGTTTGCAGCTGCTGAAAGTAACAAAGAAAGTTAGTTTTAATGTAACTTTGTTATTTTCTAAAACAAGTAGTCAGTAATCTGATTAAAGTTACTTTTTCAAAGTAACTATGCCATCACTACTTACTGTACATTGACCATACACATAAAATAAATGAAGTTTGTATATGCTTCATGGTATATTATTTTGGTGTGAACTCCCCTAACAATGTGATGTTTCACTTGCATCACACTCGGTAATATTCTGGCAAATACAATTTCACATGCAAAAATTCTTCCTGCTTAAGCCATTATTATATCTGAAGTTTCTCCCAAATGAGAAGCAAAGAACAAATATTACTCCATGTTCCAATTTTAGACTCTGAAAAAGAGTTATTCGGTCTAAAGTGAGATAAAAGGTTGAAAGAAGGAAAGAAAGAAAAAATCTTATACTCACAAGTAGTTCTGTAGCTAATGAAAGAGATGCTTGATCTGTCCCCAGGTCAAACATACACCTTTTATCAATGCACCGCAAAACTCTTGTAATTTATACCTTGATAAGTCAGGTTACAGCCCTCCCATTTACTACATGCACTTTCCTCCCCCTCAGACACACGCGCACACACACCCACACACACCCACACTTATTCTGACTTCAAAAATCACACACACCCAGACGCATGCAAAGGTATTCGTGCACACAGGCAAATGTGATTGCACAATGCCTTTTGTTGAGCCACAAATGGTTTCCAGTTTTCCACATCCAGTTTCTGGAAAATGGTGTCTGGAAATGTGAGTCTTAGACACAAAACTATACAGAGTGTGAGCCGCTTGTTTGGTAGCAGTAAAGTTATTGGAGTAAACAAGGAGAACAAGTGGGTGCTAAGTTGCTGTGGTGGCTTTGAAAGATTAATGCAACTTGTTTATGTTTCTACCCAATATGAAATCAATCAACTTTTTTTCCCAAAATTTGTTTTATCTGCAATTTTACATTTACCTGATCTGTGTTACAACGTAGAAATGCCACAAAAAAACAAAGCTACACAACAAAATCCCAAATTTAGATCTATTGTTTTTCCACTTCAGATGGAGATGGTCTTTACTTTTAATTTTGAAAACTAGTTTGAGATTCAAACTTAAAACTTTTTAAAATGAGTCCATATAAGAAATTAAACTGAAACTCAACTTTATTTTTTTCCTATTTATTTGTTTTCCAGATCTGTTGACAATACATGGGCTTGCAGTGTTTTCTACATCAATAAAAATCAGGAAGATCCTCCTCTGCGTTGTCACTGATCATAGTAAAAATAGTATCATGGCCCCCTATGCAAGAATTGATTTCAGGAACGTCAGCCAAAAGCCATCAGAATGATGCCAAAAACCCACTGATCGATTTCTATAAAAAACTAACTAATATATAAGATTTTGACAATGTGCTACAGGTTGAGGTGTTGCAGGAAACTGAGAATTGCGTATTGCAGATACACTGAAGCAAACACAAATAGGTGCTTGAGTTTGGATTGTGGTTAATGTTCTACATTGTCCTTTAACAAAGAGGTTTTGGTAAAAGTCCCCAACTAACTAAAAACGAAACATTACAATAACTTTGAGATCCCATTAACAGGTGGAGATTTTACTTTTTGTGCAGTGTGTTCTCCATAGTCCTGCTATAATTAGACTTGCTGTCAGGTGTTGAATACCTGACTTGCACACAAAGCCTTTGTGCTCCAGCTGAAGCCCCTCATTGGCCCCACACTGCTGGAAGAAGAAGAAGAAGATGATGATGTCAGCTTTGCTTGGATGCAGTAGAAGTGGATACAAAAACTGAATCAATATTCCGTTGACAAACCATGACTTTCCTTCTTTGTTAAAGCTTTTCTTCTTCTCGTACTTTCTCGGAACAGTGCAACACAACTGCGGTACTCAGAAGACACAGCAGATAACAGCCTCTCCATTAACACCCACTGAACAAATTACTGCTTCACAGTTCAGCAGAGGTTACTGATTGGACGTCTAAGAGAAATTTAGCTGAAATTGACTGGGGTTTTTTTCCATTTCTCACACTTAATTGATTTAGTATGAGAAACTTTTTGTTTTTTTTTTGGCATTGTTGACCATTTGTTTTCCATGTGTGCCTATATTTACTCTTCAGGGGTCACAGGGCATGTTGATGTGTGTCTGATGTCATGGTGTGCAGCGATTGTTTATGTGACATTTCCAAGAATGCTATTGCTGCTCCCCCCCTGCTTTTTCCTTGTTTTGTCTCTCTAACTTTCTCGTTTCTCACCATGTGTAGTTTCCAAATAAACGCCTCCCTGTCTTCGCTGCTGGCTCAGAGGATGGTGGGCTTTGCGGCTACCGATGGAAAGAGGTGGTGCAAGAGGCAGAACCGCAGGAGATGTCCAAAAAAAAAGCTGTTCCCAAACGTTTCCCCTCAAAGCAAAATGCAAGATGAAGAATCAAAGCGTCCCCAAGACTCTACAGCCCATCACCTTCTTCCCCGTCAATCTTCAACTCAGCCCAAGCAAACAGATCTCTACATCCTCCCATCGTCCTCTGACATCCTCTTTAATAACTTTCAAAGCCTGAGTTTCAATGAGAAAATAAACGGCGGCGATGGATAGCAGCAGTCAATCATAATGACGGGCAGCCATTAAACGAAAATATTTTAAAATATAGGGACAGGGTCATAAAACCAGCTACAAGTAAAATAAATTAAATTAGGTATTGCGCATAGATGTGCGCGTTACCACAAGGTAGGACGGATTCAGAGGCAGCACAGATAGTTAAACACTTGTGGAAAAGGGGTTCAGTGAAGATTGAAAAAGTTTGAAATAAAATAAATCCTACTAAGGTGTATATTAATTTTATATTCAAGACAGAATTTGATGTAAATTGTGCATTTTGTGGTTCATATCCTTAAACTGTTGTCCACTTGTTTTGGCGCTGTCCCTTTGTTAAAGCTTTTTGGCAGGTTCTGACTTTATCCACAACAACATAGAAGCACAATTTATGTTTTTGTTTTTTTTTATTAAAGTTTTTATTATTTTTCAGAACATATGTATATAACCCCTCCCAGCCCATCCCCTCACAAAACAAATCAAAAAGAAAACCAAAACAAGCAGGTCAGCGCAAATCATATCAATAACAGTTTCACCGAGAATTGGCATATACAAATATCCTCAATGTTCGCAGAAATAACCATAATAAACAGGTTTACTGTAAGCAGCATTTTCCAGAACAGCAGTTCGTCAGACGAGTTTACTTGTCCAAGTTTTGCATGAGAGAAAATAGTTCCAGGATTTCTTGAAGTTTTCTACGTCATTATTTAGCTCAGCCAACATTTGTTCATATGACACCATTTTCAACATTAATCCCAACCAGCTGTTAACTTTCAAAACAGTTGAAGATTTCCATAGTCTGAGGATTATTCTGGCGGCTGTGACTGTTCCCACCTGCACCACGGTGTTTGGGTGTTTTGATATATTAGGCATCAACGTTTGATCCCCCAATGAACACAGACTTGGTGACATGGGTGTCCCCGCACCTATTCACTATCCAATGTGTTGTAGTACTGCTTTCCAAAATGTGGAAATGCATTTACATTCCCATATGGCATGTCTAAAAGTTCCTGCTTCTGCTTTCCATTTCCAACATAGATTATTGGTGAGCAGGCCCATTCAATGGAGCCTGGATGGGGTGAAATAAAATCTATGTACAATCTTATAGTGTGAGAATTTCCCTCTCGGTTCTTTAATATATTTCCCGTTATTTGAAATTACTTTCAAACATTCTTCATTACTAAAAATGCAGCCAAGGTCCCTCTGCCAGACAGTACCTAGACTTTTACATAAATCCTTTCTCATGCTATGAACTTTCAGAGAAGAAGAGCTTCTCCTGGTCTTCAGGCTTTTCATGCAAGGCAACATTTCCGCTCACATAGTCCAGTGGATGTCCACGTTTGTGTTTTGGTGTAAAACCAATCTCTGGACTTGGAATGAAAGAAATTCCAGATTTTCTGACTCCACTTGGATCTGGGGCCGTTGTGGAGTTTGCATGTTATGGACTCGCGGCTCTTGACCACCTTGAAGAAGGAGAGACACTGGAGGTCCTGAATGCCTGTGGGTTTCTACAAATGGACCGGAGAAAGGAGAAAGACAAGAGCTTGGCGATGATCAAGGACATGTGGGACAAAGGAACAGGATGTGATATAACAATACTGGGGAGAGATATTCAGGTAAGATGATACATCTTCCAGTTATTTGTTGTGTACTCCTTCCTACAATTATTTCCCTGAACTGACCAAACATTCTGTCAACAATAGACTTAATGAATCATCTGCTGTCCTTTTAAAAAATAGACCACCAGTGAAGTGAAACTTTATATATATATAAACATATATATATATATATATATATATATATATATATATATATATATATATATATATATATATATATATATATATATATATATATATATATATATATATATATATATATATATATATAAACCTTTTTTTCTTTTAAGTTTTTTTTTTCTGAACCTTATATACAGTTTTCTTTAAGACTGGTGTTAAGTAATTTATACCTCACAGGAAGCATAATTACCTTTAAAGTCATTTTTTTACATTAAAAAAAAGTGAATTTTTAATTGCAAAATGAAATGCAAAATTAAAGTGATCAAAAATTAATCCTTTGCTATACTTATGATAATAATTCATATTATTATTAATTATATTTAATAATTATTATTTCATAATGATGAAATAATAAAAACTTTGTAATAAGTGTTAAATATAATTAAATAATAACTACATCACAATAATAAAATAATAATCGATATTACTATTATCATAATGATACATATTATTAATAATTTGTCAGATTAATAATAACTATTATTGTTATTATTACTTTAATTAAAGCAAAACAATGAAAATATTTTCATTGACAATCATCTTTAAATCATCCAAGGTCACCTTGAGAAGCAGAACTAACACGAGGTGAAACTATAACAGCGATGGCGAATGCATAATACGTCAGTAGAAACTGCAGAAAAATCCAAACAGGAATTGATGTTTGAATGGAGTAGGGAAGTTTGAATACGCATTATTAAGCAACATTTAAAAAGTTACGAAAATCCTAGAACTGCAGGATTCTAGCAGAGAAAGGAAGCGCTGCATGAGGTAAGGTAGCTATTTTTAGTTTGCCTATTTCCAAGATACTGTAGCTTTCGCTATGTGAGACTACCAGCCAGCACTGATATTATTGATTCAGACTTAATTGCTACATGTGAGGAAATAAAATATTTTAAACATGTTAATAGGGTTCTCTTAAAACGGTTTCTGTGTAAAATGAATTACCTAAATTTAGAGGGTTGTTACTAAATGTTCTTGTTGCTGTTTCAATATTTAGAACTGATTTTGGGGGAAACAAACGTGATTAAAAAAAAAATGAGACAAGATTCTTGTAAACTGACCCACTTTCCTTATGGCAGCCGATCCGAGGG